CCTTCATGGTCAAGCAAATGGATGACGCCCCATTGCGTACCAAGGCATATAAACTTAGTATGTACACTTATACAGCTGACTGCATCTTTTAACAGTATATTTTGAACGTCATTACCCATTCTATCGTATTTCAATTTTGGCTCCTCATCTGGAGGTAAACTATCACAACTTTCTAAGTTTAACGTCATATTGCATAACTATTACTTAAACAGTTATATATAACAATTCATTGCATTAAGAAATTATTCGTAAACACTGTTTTATTAAGTAATAATAATGAATAATAAAAATTATAACTCAAATGAAAGGAGTGACCAGTGACCACAGGTTTTTTTTTTAATATTATGGCAATAGTTTTAACTTTATGCCAGTTTCAAGTAAAAGGTTGGGAAACTACACGCGGGAAAAAAACAAAGACATCAAAAAAAAAAAAAGGATAAGCTGGTTAAAAACAAACATAATATTACATCTTAATATTATTGTTGATTATGAAAGAAGATAATACATTATAATACAATAAAGGATAAAGCAAAAGGCAGGAGATTTTAGTCGGAAACGGAACATGAAGTAGGTAATTGTAAGAAATTCAGAAAGGAGGCAGGGTCATATTGGGAACAAGAAAAGAAAATATGGTTGACGTCACCAATATCTTCTCCACACTTGCAAATATTACTTTTCATGCCGACAATATTAATGGCATCATTAGAGATTAAAGAAGAAAACACTATTTCAGAAAAAATTATTGAGTTTCTGACAATGCTACGCCACCATGGCCATCAAATCTATGTTCTCGTCTGGCTTCAACCACGTCTCAGATAACGCGACAACAACAGGAGAATGTTTATATATCAAATATATTTAATCACGTTTCATTGAATTATCTTGCAATTTTTTATTTGTAATTACATTAATTGATTTTACTTTTTCATTAATAGAGGCATCGTGGGACGGTTTCAGTAAGTTTGAGTTTATTAAAGTAGTTATTAATGCTAGTATCATTTCTAAGACATCAAATTTTTCTTCCTCTTTATTTTTGTGACCAACCAGAGCCGGAGGTCTTTCAATACATTATTATGAGCAACACGATCATATCCATATCGAGGTTTAGGAGGAGAGCGAGGTTTTAAGAATACTGTCTTTTTATATGAGGGATTAGTAGAATTATTTTGAGATACAGACTTCGCTGCGAAAGAATATGCAGGTTTTGGAACTTCCGGAATTGTTGAACTTAATGCATCTGGGTATGAAGGCTTAACTATAGATCAATCTAAAGCGTGGCCACACAAGGAACAGGAAGTTTTTTACATTGTTTCGTCGGCAAAAATATGCATATTTTGCGTAGAATTCTTCCCAATTGCCGTTCTTTGTTGAAATCTATGAACAGCAGTGGACGCCTGATATGATGACGGTGACAAACTTAGTCGGAGATAGCGCGAGACTTAATGCTTCTCTTAGGAATGTGTGAAGTAAAAGAGACAGGTTGTTATGGGCTAATAATAATAAGGTAGAAATAAATACAACCCATACCAGCAAAAGCAATCACTTACAAAATTTTCCATTTCTAACAACGGCCGCAGTAGGCCGTAATAGGCCGTAGTGACAGAGAAGTCATAATATAGTAAACTCTAACTTCTTCTTCTTCAGATATCTTACAGTTATTGCTTTGATAACGAGACATGATTGTCTAATGGGCTTTGTTCGTTAAACGTTATTTCATCAAGTTTCCGTTCACTAAGGCCTTTAAAGCCTTAAACGCTGCAACCCACCATAGCACGTACAGTGTTTTTATTTAAATTCACCGAATACTCTTCTTACAACACAATCTTAACTACATCTCACCCATAAGCCCAAAGATGCGAGTTTGTTTGTCATGATTAGAACTCATGACAAACATTAGAGTGAATTTTGCTAAATTGCTATCTCTTTCTGTCAAGGTCATTTCATGGATCCATCTAAATAATCTGAAAGATTATCATATTAATAAGCCATATCTCGAATGTGTCGACCAATATAATACAATGAACTTGTATAATACTAACATATAATTAGTAATCTGTAGTGCTACGAAGTAATATTATGTTGATCCTTTTATTAAAACGCCACGGATGAAAAGTCAAAAAATAAAGTTGAAGATTTTATTTTAAATAGGTTTACAGTAGTTTTCTTCTGCGCTAGCGACAGCAATAGCGGCTGCAATTCCACTCTTAATTTTAGAGACTCAAGTATTTTTAAACATAGACTAAGGGCCAGTTTTCTGATCCGTAGTTAACTCAACTATTGGTTAAATATTCTTACTATTAGTTAAAAACGTGCAAAATGCATTTTTTGATCCGTGGTTAGAGTATCAAATGGTCAAATATCTAACCATTAGTCAAAAAAGTTAACTACTCAATATCGGAGGGTTAACAAGATGGCCGCTGGTAATTTATATAGTAACAGCTGTTTGTCACAAAAATCAAACTATGATAAATACGTTTATTACTATCTAATGATGAATTTTAACATAGTGAGATACTTTAATGAATGAGACGATGATATTATATTAGAATGTGTTAATGAGAAGACCAAAAATATTTTGTCACCGTTACCCCATTTATTTATTAAAGTTCACCACATGATATATAATGCTATTTCTACAGTTTATATATTACAAGCGATCTTTTATAAGATACATGACAATTATGGTAAACAAATGTTACAAAAAATAAAAATATTACACGTCCAATATTAGATTTTACTAGTAAGTACCTAATTCTTTGCTTACCTACTGTTAAGCTAAAAATCACTAGAAAAACAGCAGGTATCAGATAGGAACTTAACAGCTGCTTTTTCAAATTGATTTTTAAATTAGCCCTCTACTACTAATAAACTACAGCTGCACATTAGTAAGGACCTATGATATTACATATGTGAGTTAGCATCTACCTACTTTATTACATGAATTTATAAATAAAACATGTGACTTGATTGATAAACTGTTTAATTATAACTTAAATACAAACCAATTTTAAAAAAAAAAACATTACAAAATTTACATGAAACCCTAAAGTAGCAATTAAATATTTTCTAATTGTTTCTTCTTGCATTCCACCTCAATTTGACGCAACTCTTTTTGCTGCTACATATATTTATTGTGCCTTTCTTCCATTGCTGCATCACTTTTTGGTGCGCCTCCTCTTTATGCAGCATGGGTTTTTGGTGGGCCTCTTCTTTGTGCTGCAAATGTTTTTGATGCTCTTCCTTAGCATAATTGGGCAAATCATGCTCTCTTTTTGCTTGTTTTTGTTTCAAAACCTCAATTTTTTTATGCGTGTGGATCATAATCAGCTTCCTTGTTTCCAAAGGGTTAAAAATGTTTCCTTTTGTTGTAGGACACAACTGAAAACAAGAATAAATATAATTATGTGCCTAGACCTTACTTAAAGGTATATTAAATAACACTAACACTTCGGTGTCTAGACCCATCTGAGTTGAAAACGTCACAGAGATTTCCAAGCTGCATCTTTTTGTAGAGAAAACGTCACAGAGATTTCCAAGCTGCATCTTTTTGTAGATTGCTGCAGTGATCAGTTGTTTGCAGGTTACGACTGTGTAATCTTTGAGAAGCATCACCAGTTTGGCAGTTTCTTTTTTGGCGAAGTTAGCAGTATGGTCCCTTTAACAAAACATAAATGTATTACTTTCTATTACGAAACACAAGATAAACCGGAATAAATAACACGAAAATATGTTTTTACTTACTTGTTTGACCGTTGGCTGTTTGCGGACATCGTTATTTATATATTTAAGTATCGTAAAAGGTGTAAACCGTATTAAAACACAGAAAAACAACTTTATTTATATCGTGTTATTTAGATTAATTTGACACTTCAAACTCTTCAAAGCGCAAATAACGAATGAAGATGGCAAAAATGGATTTCATTCACTCAATATGTCTAGTGTTGTCATACAAAATAAATGTTCCCCACAAAAAAGAACCACATTTTTTGGGATGTCATTGCTCATTGCACTGGCAACAAATTGACCAATTGTTAAGATTAACTATAGTTAAAATAGACATTGAAAAACGCATTTACGATTTTACCAATGGTTATTCATTTAACTATAGTTAATGTAACAAATGGTTAAACCATTTTTTACTACGGATCAAAAAACTGGCCCTAAGAAGACGATAGTTTGAAGGATCACAGACTTCATTCTATTGATAGGGCAGAATATAGGATTCGTAAAAAAAAACGCTATAAAATAGACGGAGATTTTTCGACGATCAACTGAATGGAACAAACATACAGCGCCCTCTACTGGAAAAGTTTCTAGTGTGGTCTTCCCCATTATAGGATGATTACGAAAGGACAGAGTATAATTGAGGAAAACACTGCGGTTACAGAATGTTATTATTTTCTTAATAGTGACATATGCCTAATTATTTTACGCTGTGGTTTATTGATGCATAATATTAAGCGGGAAACGCAAAATTAAATATTTATCCTATATTATATATAATTTCGGAAAGCCGGTTTAATACTTAATAGTTCAAACGTTATTGTTGCATATTAAAATGAAAGCACGGCGTCATTATACCCAAGATTTTAGAAAATATTTATCGCCCCTTGGGCAGAAAGTTTTATCGAATCTTTTTAACACTCTACTAGGAAAGTATCAAAATTAGAATGACGACACTTTTATACATTATTATATTAATGTTATATGCCATTAACTAATCAATCTTATGGACCAAAATATTAGAATTTTAAAAACATTGTTTTATTCAAAATTTACAGAGAGTCACACCAGGAACCCTGAAAGGATGCCTTTGGTGTAAGTAAATTTCTGTTTAATTATAAAGTTTTAGTTATCCAATTGGTATTTCATTTCTGCAAAATCCTTAAAAATAAATACACCACATAATGTTAACCAAAACTCAAGGTTTATCGATACAATTGTATGGTGTTGTACATGTTAATTTTTCTTAATAAGATAAATTTTATAGGTCTAATAATATGAAAATAGAAAACCACTTTCAAAACGAGTCTTTACATGTTGCTCCTTCAGCCCCAAGTAATTTGGAAGTTGGCGACGGCCCTTCTTTAGATTCCGAAGGAATGGGAGCGCTATCTCAAAGCCAATCAATCGCTCCACACTTTTCGGAAAGCACTTCACACAAATGGGAGGATTTACTTGATGATCCATCATTGTCAGAGATTTCTAATTCTACGGAGGAACTAAAAAAGGGAAAAAACCCAAAACGTAAAACTGTTATCAAGCATAATGATAAAAATACAAAGAGAGAGGTTACCAGTTTCAGCTTTCGCAAAGAAAAGTATACCACTGCGGTAAAAAATTGGTTAAACCATATGGATACAGACACTGCCCTGAATAGTTCAGCGACACTAAAAGATAGCTTTTCTCCAACTCCGCGGGCATTCGGGGAAACGGTGAAAATTAAAAACACACAACAATTTACTCAATCACAACTCGCCAACAAGAACGGAGTGATGAAATATGTGAATCCGAGGGAAATTAACACAAACGAAAATACAACACATAAAGTTAATTTTATTGCAACTGGTAAAACCCTTGCAGAACTTGAAAATTTGCAAAAAAGAAAACAGAAAGCATCTCCAAAACTACAACTACCCGAGGCTATAAATAATTCTAAATTCGTGGCCCCACTCAAAAGGCACTCGATGACGCACACATTGGCCAGCCGAGACCACGCTCAACGAGACAACTGAATGTAAGAAATGAAACTATTGTGACCTGCAGAAGAATTTAATTTCTATCGGTTTCTACATCTGTACAAAGAATTCATTAATAAATAAAGCAACACAAGTTATAATTAATTTTCATTTTATTCGATTGAGCACGATTATTAAACACAATTTACCAATGACTAGCAGCGCTCGAATAAGGGTTGCCAAGGGAGTCAGGTGCGCACTCTGATGAGGGCGTAGAGGCGTGTGTGGGTGACAGGGGCGATGGGGGCGGGGTGGTCGGGCGCTCGGAACCCGTCCCTTGGCTCGGGCCCCGTCTCCAACAGCCGATGCCGAGCCGCGTTCTTGCGCTCCTGACGGTGCACCAGCATCCGGTACCTCGACATCTCCGGGGGCAGTCTGCATGCATCGATGTAACATAATTGAATACAATCAAACTTTTTCAGGATAGGACAGACAGAAATTAATACCCAAAAACATATGTAGGTATATGCAACCGTCCGAATATTTCTATTCTCTTATGTTTATTGGAAATTTAAAACTATTCACCAAAAAAATACCATACTGTCCTTTCCTTTACTTGTGTGAGTTTGTTTTGAAAATATAGAGCCAAGGCGGAAAGCTACTTAAGATTGACAAACAGTCAATAATTTGGAGCTTATTTGAAAAGGGTAAAAGCCTCACCTTAAAATATCTAAAGCGGCGTGCCGCAGGCGCAGCGCGAGATCGTCGTCCTCTCCACCCCAGCCTTGAAAACGGTTGGAGAAGCCGTCGATCTGGCGGAAGTGGTCGGCGCGGATGGCCAGGACCCCGCCTGTTAGGGACTCGTAGGGTAGATTGAGGCGGAACTTGTCGATGCTAGCGCTCATGTGTCGAGGAAGGCGAAGGCAGGCGTAGATGTTGGCGGCGTTGACCGGCAAAAGGTCTACATCGTGCAGAATGAGACACGGGAATCTCTCCTCGAGCGCCCTCCGCGCGCCCTCATTGTACAACAGCCCCTTGTTGAAGGGCTTATCATCTTGTTGTTCAATGACATATATCCTGAAATGTTAATATATACTTAACGCACATGTTCTGTCTTCTGACAGTTGCAACATTGGCAAAATTATTTTGAGGTATTGTTTTGCAACTTCCTCCTCAACACTCCACTGCCATATTTTACAAAAGCAAAAGTTACTGACACTAGTTAATAATATTTCCAACCCTTAGCCTCTATCATAAGACGCGTCATAGATATGCTAAGCGTATTAGGAAATTCTATATACATTTAAAAGAAAACACTCACTTGTAGTGTATATTTTGTTTCCTTAAAAAATTATGTATATATGGAATAAATATATCCAACTGCTTCTGTCTCTTCCTATATGTAACAAGTATAGCCACACTTATCAGAGGATTGCAGTCCTTTGGAATAAAGGTGCCATTTGCGATTCCATGTGGAAGAAACCCATCAACATGCCCATTGATTTCCCAATCATCTGGGTAATATTTCTGATAAATATCCTCATATCTGCAGTCTGGATTAGGTCTTTTCACTAAATTAGGGTTTGCATGTAAATAAATATGCTTCTCTATTTCACTCCTAGGTATGCATTCATAGTTATAATATCCATAGCATGCAAAAAATTGAATCAATGCAATCAATCCCAGGATGAATGCAATGAAAACCTTGAAGTAAACTTGCTGAAGCCTTTTTAGAGGCAACCATTTGCGCATTTGGCTGGCACGTCTTGTCTATTATGGTTTAGCTAAGGCATGTTGTTTTTTCTGTTGAATAAAATATTTAGAATTGTTTAAGTTACAAATTATAACTTTTGTTATGTCCTAGTTATGCAGTCAGCCTAAATAGCCCTCTGTATTTATTTATAACATGTTTATTATGTAGATATTATATAAATTAATTTTAAGCTACCTACAAAGGCCATAAGTAAAATGAGACTGGTTTAAGTTTCAAGATACTTGTAATAAGGATTTATGAAACCAAACATTCTCAAACGTAGTTGTCTTTGTGAAGACATGCAATGCATTTTGTAACACAGATATATTCCCAAAGGAAAAATTCTCTTTGTTGCAGTTCTCTTATCACTAGTATTGCACACATCCTCATTGCTTATCAAATGTAGGGCAAACTGTGTAACTATTAAATAGTATTGTTTATTTATTATTCATTGAATCAAGACCAATTATAAATATGGTTAGATTAGTGTTAGTTCTCAATAGTTTAAATGTCACTGGCAAGAATAATTTAACTTGTTTTGTTTGAATTTAACCACATACAGTAAGTGCACATACTTTAGTTCACAACTGCATTCTATCTACAACAAATTATAACAGTCTCTCAAAAAGAATAATGTAATTAATTTTAATAATGACAAATGGTTTAATTTCAAAACAGTTTTTTTACATAATAATAGTTTACAGTCAGTATTTTGATAAAATTAATCCTGTGGGATTAATTTAAGTCAACCTCATTAAACTTCAGTGTAAGAAATATGTTACATGTTTATTAAATATTGAATTAGTCATAATAAAATTAGGTTAAGACTAGATATTTAAAAAAACCTTAATTGAAGTAAAAAAGATGTTTCTTATATATTATTAAATGTTTTATTTTAATTTTGGTTCTACTTACTGTTTACGTATCTTAACTGATGAATTGTGACATTTAGACGTAAGTCATGGTACAAGTATAATGAATTTAAGTACGACATGCACTATAACTTGCAGCGAGCAAGTACAATGTTTAATGCTTATATCTAATTTTAAATTTAATAAAATTAAAGAGGCAAGGACGCAGTGATTCTTAAATCTTTTTATTTTAGTGTTAACAAAAACAATGAAAGAAAAACAAATTTGGGTGACAGAGGACCTAACCTGTAAGCCGCTAGACAACTATGAGGACATATTTATGTTTCTGCAAGATCCACCAGCGTGGAGAACACTATGCAAAGAGCTACAACCGCATAGTGAGAAGGTTATCAGAAACAAAATTGTAAACAGAGACTTGGGTGAGATATTACTCGAAAGTCCACAAGTATTCTGTCATATGGAACCGGATGCGGAAAATGTCAGACGCGAGGATCGGAAAACCTTACCAAAAACAATAGTTTGTCATGACATGGCAAATGGATATCACGATGATAGGTAATTAACCAATTTTTCAAAACTTATATTTTTTCTTATATAAAATATATGTAAATTTTGTGGAATTAAAATATTATATATAAAAATAATTATTTATATTGGTACATTTACACTTATAAACGTCAATATTTAAAAATGGGAAGGTCTCAATTAATAAATTTACATTAATTAACTAACAGTTTTCAAATCAAGGATGGTCAGCGGGCGAGAAAAACATCAGGTGAGCCTTCTGCTCGGTTGCCTCCAGTAACCTAAAAAAAAAAAACTGTTTGAACTTTGAATTTTTGTTATATGTACAAGGAATATATAAAACTAGCTGCCCCCGCGAACTTCGTTTCTCCTTAATGTGATTTTACCTAGCCTACCTTTTTAGTACACACCGACATGGAACATTTTGCAATGCTACCCCAGAGACTGTTGGGTTTTACGGAATGAAAACTTTTTGGTATTTTCTGTGAATTTTTCGCTATATACCTCAGAGTTAAGTTATAAGTATTTAATTAACAAATAAGGGTTGGTGATAGAGGGGTGAAAATTGGGCCCCAGGATACCATACATAAATCAATATGTTAAACACAAAAAAAAATTTGAACAAATTTCCCTTGATATTGTTTGATTTCAATAAATACCATAGTTTTAACCTCGCGAATTTGTCACATGCACGAGTCTCTCATTAATTTTTGGAATATATACTATAAATAATAAACACGAAGTATTAGTGTTTCCTTTCGTGAGAACAGTGTACCTATCACATCCTTAAAGGCCGGCCACGCACACACAAATGTTACATGAACTGATCGTTAGAAGCTTCTTGTTAGAAAAAGTATTTGAACGTCCTTTACAAAAATTTACTTCTTGCCGCGTGTTATTTTTATTTCAAACTTGTAACCAAATAATAGTTTTAGAATTTACTTGCAGCATGATTGATGGAACGGGAAACTCTGACGCTTATAGTTTTTACAACTGGGGTGGTGTCGATATCTTTATATATTTCAGCCATCACTTGATTACCATTCCTCCACTGAGTTGGATTAATGTAGCACACAGCCACGGAGTGAAAGTTTTAGGTGGGTTTTTACTTGGTATTTCAATGTACTAATGTAATATTATTTTACTGACGAAATGGTCGGTTTAAGGGACGGTGATAACGGAATGGGGAGAAGGTGTAGCGTTTTGGGAGCGCATCCTTCAATCGGAGACGGAATGGCAGAATTTGGCAAGTGCTCTCGTCGCTATAGCCAAAACACTCAAATTCGATGGCTGGCTACTTAATGTAGAAAATAAGGTTATAAGGAACGATCTAATCAATTTTATTTTCCTGCTAGAAACATTTCTATTTCACCATTGTAAATACATCCGATTAGATTTCACGGCCGGAGTCATTGGTGCAATTCGTGAGGTACCTTCGTGAAATGCTGCATGCTGAACTAGCCGACCCCGAGCTGGTTTGGTACGACAGTGTCACTGGAGACGGGCATCTCAACTGGCAGAACGGACTCAACGAAAAAAACAAGTTTGATGATGATATAAGTTTTCGTTGAAGAAGATAAATGAATTGAAATCGCTTCTGATATCGCGTTCTAGCTTTTTATAAAAAAATCGTTATATATTTGCAGAGTGTTTTTCGACGCCGCTGACGGGTTCTTCACGAACTATTCTTGGCGAGAGGAAGACGTCGCCAGTAGTGTGAAGGAGGCCGGCTCACGCTTGACCGATCTTTACGTTGGAATAGATGTTTGGGGGCGAAACTTCTACGGCGGCGGACAATTTAACACGCAACAGGTGTGTACACGCAATAATAGGGTTATATGTAGATCAACCATATAACCCTATTATTAGGTTCTAGCTGTTGCCTTTGCCTCTGATTATGATACTCTGACACGTAATGACACGTCTGAATATAGAGCTTAAGAAAAATGGATGGTTTTTATTACAGTTATTTATGACAGTTATTGTTATTGGTTGTACTGAGCCGTAGCTACGCTCAGAACTTGCCTTGCCTTAAATCAGTAGCAATTAGTTTGGAATGTTATACATAATATATTTGAAACTTATTCTCATTCCCGGTCAGGCTGTTCGACTTGTTCACGATTATGGTTGTTCATTGGCCATTTTTGCGCCGGCTTGGACTCACGAGGCCATGTCTGAGGAGCAAGGAGACTCTAACGCGGTGGCCCAAGCGGAAGACTTGAATAACTATGACCGCTTTCTGCTACGGGATCGAGCTTTCTGGGGGAGCATCTGGCCCTTTTTAAACACTAAACTCCCGTCCACTCTGCCTTTTCAGACTTCCTTTTGTAGAGGGCAGGGAAAAAAGCGGAGAATTTATGGAGAGGTAAGCGCCATTGAACCAAAAAACATAATATAAATCATGTAAAAAGGAATTATATTTATATACAATACTTTTTGTTGTTCACAAAAAATAAAATAATTGTATACATTATTATTACTTCTTCTAGGTGATATGTCCTGTCCCTTGGTACAACTTACGGCATCAACAATACCAACCGAATTGCTCCCACGGCCCCCACGGGTACTTGCTTTCAACACTTGATAACATCGTCAGCCTCTCGAGACTGGGCTTGTTCAATGACAAAGCTGGGATATTGCACTACCGAAAGACTATCGAAGATAGCAGACTGAACACTGAGGATCCAACTACCAGCAAAGAAATGGTGTTTTCAATGAATCCTGATAGTATTAGTAATATGCACGAAGATAGAGTTCAAGAGACGGTAGAGGAACCAGCACAAAGCGAAAGAAAATCTGTTAAACGAAAAATTACATGGGTTTTACGACATTTTTTCAAAGTAAAATCAGCAAAATCAGACGACGAAGTAACTAAGTCCAAAGAAGACGTGAACTCAAGTCTGAATACCGTGAGTGAGATGGACGCAAGAGAAAGAGGTCCTTCCATGGTGCAGATGTCAATCAGTCTGCGGTTGGGAAACAAGAATATGAAAACAAGGTATGCACTGGGGTATGTGCCCGATGAGCTGGAATGCCTAGAACCGTTCTTCGAGGACAGCTTCACGGGCGGTTCTTGTCTCAAAGTGAATCCGTCGGATAAAGTGTCGCAGGAGCACAGACTCTCCAGAATTTTCTTCAGCGACTTTGTCATCGAGAATAGGTTTATTGCGTGTGTCGTAACAAAGACTTTAGCCGGTCAGGAGGAGCAATTTTTGAATGTGTTACTATGGATAGAGAGCGACAGCAGCGAGAGTACGATTGTGCTCGTGGGACGCCGAATCCCGCACGCTCAGGGCGCGGCAGCCAGCGGGAGCCCCTTCCAGCACGTATATCCAGCGGAGGGGGCCGATTTGCGCCGTCTGCAGACCCACTTGCTACTCAACGAGCCCGGTTTTTACATGCCCATCGAGAACTCTTACCGCTGGAACGTTCGGTAAGACAATCTTTTCTTTAATCTTTTCTACTATAAGGCAAAATTTTGATTTCCATTAATTTATCAAATTATCTCCATATATAAGTCGTCATAAAGCTAAAATAGTTCTCGCTTCATTTATTTCTACGCGTTTTCTTAGTAGTTATAGCTTTCACATGTGATTAATGTTTATATGCCTCCGCATATTATTGCATATTTATTACAATAACTGAATCAGTAATTTTTCACCTACATAATAATAAGTCGTCACAATATGTACGAATATCGTTAGTTACTACGAGGTGGAAGTGGGATCGGCAAGAGTGCAGGCGGTCGGGTGCCGCACGGGGTTGGACGTGGGGCCGATACTGCTGGGACACTTTGGCCTCTGCCGCATCAACACCGAGCACTCTGATGCGACGCAAGCGACTCAATGACAGTTGTTTATGTAGTATTTAGGTAAAAATAAAATGTTTTAGAACAAATAAAGTGTTTGTTTAATCGTATTTAATTTCCTGTTTTATGTTTTTGACACCTTTTACTATTATAATTGTATGTACTTATGTATATAGTTTCGAATTAATAAAATGGTAACTTAAAAAATCTAAATTACTTGTTAGTACCTACCTGAACATTATTATCTATGTACTTAAAGAACGTACGTACTCAATAACTTACGTGCATAATATAGATTTCAACAATAATTACTGCTTTAACATTTCTATAGGTAAGTACAAGAACAATTATTGGAATATGTATTTTAATAAATGTATAATAAATTGCTATTGTTGTGCCATTTAGACGCTTAACGGTTCACTACAAAGTACAAGGCTGACGTGGGGACTTATCCAACAAATAGAGAGCGCTTCGAAATTTAATGTGTTGTGGGATTTTATCGGGATTACCAGTAATTATTTTTACTACCATATGGCCATCTACTTCCTCTATCGGATTATAAATCGGTGTGATATCTACGATTTCAGTCTCAATAGTGGCACGTCCTTCAACTTGCTGGTATCGGTTGCGGGTGGCTGCACCTTGTTCGTCCTCTTATGTAAAATCTATCAGATTTGATAAGATATTGTCGTAAGACTAGATAAGAATAATGCAATATATCTCGACACAACCGGTGTATAGCGGATGAAAAGACGAAAATACCGTAAGGTCGAATTCTGATTAGTGATATTTACATTATATAGTGTATATGTTACTGTAAAAGCTCGAACTACGGTTAATCTTAAGATTTAAGTGTAAGTCTTAGGATTTACCGACATGAGTTGGTAAATGTAAGAATTTCTGAAAATACGACGATTTTTTCGAGCTTTTACCATTCGAATTCAGTATATGCTAGGTTTTACCACTGTCAGCTGGTAGATGTTGGTTTTAGGAATAAAACAATGTGTAATTCTTAATTATTTAGTTTAATGAACTATTAGACAAAACAGGTACATAGTATTATAAAGGTATCATATGATAGTAATAAGTACAAACTAATACCAACTTACTTAAATTATTTTGAAAAAAACACATAACGTTTATCTCTGAATATCTCACCTACATAAGGTACCTAAAAAAAATATTTCACTTGTTACAACACGGATTGCTATAGTGGCACTTAGAATTACAAGGTAATCCTGATGATCTGCAGGTGCATTTTTTTGTTTTTCAACATTTACCGTGCCATTAATGTAAATCCTAAGATTTACCAACGGAATGTTGGTAAGAGTTCGAATCGCAAACCTTTTTGGACATTTACCATTAGGAATTGGTAGATCTTAGGTTTTACTGGAATATCTTAGGATTTACTGCAGTTCGAGCTTTTACAGTAACATATATATTAGATACACAGTGTTATTCGGGATATTTACATTAAAATAATCGCCTAATTGACAGGTCGGATCATTGTAGGTGGTTTAAGCTATCCTTAAAGATATTTTACTAATAACAAGAGTGTACGTAGAATTACTTTTGACTCGGTAATGTTTTGAGACATCCTGTATTTAAAATAATATTGATAGTTCAATTTAAAAACCGCAGAGTGATAGGTAAGTAGAGATAACCGACGCCAACTAGGTACGTGTATCGTACATTGACTGTTATTTTTGTAGATCACAGAGACATAGTGAACTATTCTGGTACGCCGTATTACCTGCATTATCGCAAATCAGTCTGAGAAATAAACAATAAATAAAATAGGTACGTGATTAAGCGGTATTATTGATTTTTGTTTGATATCGACCTTTACTCTATAGGCGCTGTTGTGAATTGTGATGTTATGTTGTATAGTTAAAGTTTTTAAAAAGTAGTTAGTATTTAATTAATAAATATATTTGAAATCCTTATATCTACAGTATTAAGTCGAAAATATTCACGTAGATCTATTGTACACGATGTCATTGACCCGGAAAAAATAGCCTTTGTTTTTTAAAATGGGTTTTTGTCACAGCAATTACGTGTAATTCACATCCTGCAGCAAATAACTATAATTGGTTGCTTGTATGATAATATTTCATTTTATCTTTACCCGTGCTAAGTAAGATTTGATATAACAAACTTATAACGAGAACATCTTAGAAGCCTCTACGTACATGGAGACGTATGGGGTATGGGGCGGCGGAGCAGCGGGAGCCACCATCGCAGCCGCGCTGAACTACTTCGCCGCCGCGCAGTGCTTACTACGCGAGCCTTGGCCGCCGCAAGCCAACCTTGAAAGTTCGTAACTTGATGAACTCATAAATGAGCTGTAGCAGCGTAGTCCACATAAATATATAGTTAATTTTGTATGCATTCTTGACAGATGGCACAGTGTTCGACTTCATCGTGGTGGGAGGTGGTACTGCGGGCGCCGCGCTTGCATCCCGTCTATCGGAGTTGCGAGACCACACCGTTTTGTTACTCGAGGCCGGTGGTGATCCCCCTCTAGAGAGCATTGTGAGTAGAAAACTTATACTATGGTGAAAATCTATACTCATTTCGGTTTAAAGAGTTTTCGAAGGCCCGTTGACACATAGAATGTGTACAGATTCCAGGTTTTCGCGATGCCATGAAACAAAGCGCAGTGGATTGGAACTTTACAACCACAAATGACAATTTTTCAAGTCAAGCCCTCCGTGATGGTAGCCAGCGCCAGCCCCGTGGGAAGATGCTCGGCGGAAGTGGTTCCATCAATGATATGATATACTCTAGAGGATTTCCAGCGGATTACGACGAGTGGGCGGCTGAACTCGGGGAAGACTGGAATTGGAAAAATGTTTTAAAAATGTTCAAAAGAACAGAACATCTCACAGATGAAAGAATTATCAACAACCCTTATCTCACACAGTTTCATGGATTTGGAGGGGAAATTGAAGTGGCAGGGTTCAACGAATCTACTCGGGCTACAGATGAATTCCTCGCAGCATTCAAAGAAATGGGTTTCAGTATAGTACCTGATATGACCAATCCGTATGAAATCGGTGCTGGACGATTCTCCCACACGATACGGGAAGGTAGACGAGAGAGTTCTGTCACCGCCTTGCTCAATTCAGCAGCAAAACGTGATAACATGTATGTTTTAAAAAAATCTTTCGTTTCTAAAATACTAATAGAACAAAATAAGGCTTACGGGGTGCAGGTACTCAAAGACAATAAGACATTGAATTTTTATGCGACGAGAGATATTATAGTGTCCGCAGGAACATTTAATACGGCGAAGTTGTTGTTATTGTCCGGCGTAGGGCCAAAGGAGCACTTAAAAGAAATGGGTGTCGATGTGGTGGCCGATTTACCCGTAGGGGATAATCTCCATGACCATATTATGGTGTTAAATTTTATTTCATCAGAAGAAGGATCTTGTAAAAAAAATGAAAATGAGCATTATTTAGATATAATTGAGTATCTTTACGATAGACGAGGCTTTTTTCAGAAAACGAGTGACTTGGCCGCGTATATATCATATAACAGCTCCACACCTAACGTACCCGATTTTGCATTTTATCCCACGTGTATGGGAAAGAATAATGATTTTTATGAAGCTTGTACTAATATATTAGGGTTTAAATCATATATTTGTGAAAGAATAACATCAGCTAATATAGTTAAGGAAATACTGATAGTTGCTGTGGTTAATTTAAAACCACAATCGAGAGGCAGGGTGCGATTAAAGACTCGAGACCCTTTGGACTCTCCGCTGATATTCTCCGGGACCTTCAGCGATGAGAAAGATTTGATGCATTATCCAGCAGCAATAAGAACGGCTAGGGCTATAGCTAACAGTACATACTTTCGTAAAAAGAGAGCGGAGGTCATTGACTTAGAACTCGAAGAATGTAAGGGAAACGACGGCGATGATATGTTGCGCTGTTGGGCGAAGTCGATGGCAACTTCAGCTTGGCACGCGGTAGGTACGGCCGCACTTGGCTCCGTGCTGGATTCGAAGTTGCGGGTGCGGGGCGTGCGGAATCTGAGAGTCGCAGACGCAAGTGCAATGCCGACAATAATACGCGGCAATACAAATGCACCGGTCATCATGATTGCGGAAATGGCAGCGGAATTTATCAAAGAAAGCCTCCTCTTATTATAGAAATAAGAACTAAAGATACATTTGTTGTTTGTATTGTATAGTTAGACTATTGTTACAATGTTGTTATACATTTTCACTTATATTCATTAATGTTATTTGGTACATATTAATATGTAATGATTTATTTTATGTTACGCCTGATTAAAACCTGAACGCAATTGTCGCATTGAACTTCACTGTTTTGTTTAGAAAAAAACAAAGTTTGTTTGTGAAAAAAAGAATTAATTTACGGTACCTACTTTATGTTACTATGTTTGTAGGTACAATCAATTAATATTGAGCGGCAAATAAAGAAAAATAAACACTAGAGCAGTTTATCTTTAGATCTAGATAGAACAAGTTCACTCCAATAGATTAGTTTGAAGCAAAATATTAAATCACAGTGTCAGAGGAATAGGGTAATTTCTTTAATTAAACTTCTAATCGATTACTTACTGCACACAAAATCTCTATTTCGATACTAATTAGTTGAGCAAAGAAAGCACCAGCTCTGGGTTTACCGGTACTATCTACCAGGCGCCAAATTAAATCTTTACTTAGCGCCTGTGCACTTGATCCCCACGGCCACCGTGTCTACTCCAAAGGGAATAAAATCAAAGTTGGAGGAAAGACCCTTATATTTTAGCCGTTTGTTACTTTCGGCCTGCTGTGCGGCTACTTACTTCAAAACCACAAGGCCACTTATGAGATGTATATTATATGGGCACACCTAAGTGAAACTGATGCCAATTTGAAGTCGTTCAGGGTCATCATCCCAGCTCCTTTGAAAGTTAACGCTAGAAGCCTGGTTCGGATGCTAACCACGCTTTTCTCGCATCGGTTAAATCCTAAATCCCGTAGTATGTAGAATAAGATCTAAAGATTTTTACCTACCAGACTGCTAGATTTGTGCAAGCATATGAGAGAAACGCTGGAAGAGCTTCACTTGTTATCTTAATCCGCCAAAGCAAATAGGAATCGACAAAACGACAGTTTAAAATAGATTCCCAAGAAGTTTTTGAAAGATTATCCAACTCACGTTATAGAACTGAATGATTCCATAAAGGGCAACAACGCAGTACATAAGTCAAGTTCGAAAAAGTCAGAATTTTAAAATGAATAGAGTACTGTTCATTTTTTATAAAACAGAGTACTGCTTTTTTGGAGATTTTTAAATGAAATCTAAGTCTACTGACTGAGGAGATTTAATTTCACATTTATCAATATTACAGTTGGAACTATTGATTAAAATCTGATATAATCTTAGAAATACCTACAAGTATAACACCTGCGTTTCCTCCTGAGTACCTACCATCATCCACCAGATATTATAATTTGATTTTAAATTTTGTATTCAAGATTTTATAACAAGACTAAAAACTACTTGGGAGTAGCCGGCCCAAGAGAATCTCCTCGTTGACAACCAAACAAGATAATATAATTATTTAACAACGAATTTAACGAATGTCGCATCATAATAAGTTTCAGCTTCAGATTGTTCCATTCGATCAACAAATCTGGAAATTTTCTGCGGACGAAGTCGTGGTTGTAGCCTTATTAAAAATATGACTAACCTTTATGTATGTAGTTACATAAGATGATATTATATAATGAGTCATAAAAGAATCAATAAATAATGATGAAGTGTAAAATTTCACCCCAGGAATGGTGCGGTGCGTAACCTGATCGTGACAGCACGTGGAGGCAATGTCAACGACATGAACGCTATGAACATTAGGTACATCACTATGATTATTATTGCAACACAAATAAAGTATTGCCTCAGGATTTGATGTTGAAGTTATTGGAAACATGTCTAATAAACTTCTCATTATAGTATATTGGTATTGGTATACAGGCAGTCCTCGTACTTACGGCATGTAAGGTTCTCGAAATACGCAACGTAAATCGAAACGACGTAAGTCGAGACATATTTTTTCGTATGTTTACATGTAAAACTCAAGGATTAGGATCCACACGGACTCGAAATTAAAAACAACTGCATTTATAACAAAGGATATACATACTTTATTATCAAAAGTAAGTTCTTAACATAATTATATATGCACTTATGAAATTGCTAGTTATTTTTGGTATTTGTGTGTTATTAATTTTAATAATAATTATAAAACTTTAATATGTAATTAAAATATGTAATGAAAAATTATAAAAAAAATTTTTGGCTTAAAGAAACTATCAATTCTAGATTGCTTCGCTTCTTTCTTCTTGCTATTATACAGATCATGGTAACACTGATAGGCTGCACAAATTTCGTGATTAACGTTGAAACTTCTCTCAAAATTAGGTTTATAAATTAATCATTTTCTTCAAAAATATTCATGGGATTCTCCAAATTTGCACAAGACACAAACAAATGACGTATCCTTGAGGAATAGTGTCAAAACATTGTTCGACGTAAATCGAAACCACGTAAGTCGAGGACTGCCTGTACTGACGTTTCCCTTTTCAACTTTACAAACAACTATTACTATAACTATGCTTGTGTTGTTTATTTTCATACCTATGTAGATGATATTATATGAAAAACGATGTATTACAACAATGTTATGAGTATCAACAAATTCTCAAACAAAGCTCGTTCACTGTACAGAGACAGATGTCCATTTAGACAACGAATCTCTAGCATGTGTTTCCGGTTGGAACCGGAAGTAGTTTTTTTTAATTTATCAAACAGGACGCAGCAACGTGTTTTCATTTAGGATTATACCCTATAAACCAGTATCTAGATCAAAGATTCCATGTAAAATAGGTATTATAGGAAATTTCGACGACATCTTCGTCAGATATTACGATATCTGTGTTTTTAATTTTGCCATGTCTGTCTGTCTATCTTTGTAAAAACATCAAACTGAAACTTAACAAAAAATTAGTTCAACTTTTGTTCCTAAAACCATTTTACAATCAATCAGTCAATCGTCTGAAAGATCGCTGACGAACTCTTTGAAAGCTGTTTGAGCGAGATATTAAATTTGCGATGGAGATATAGCTGTGATGCTTGCTTCTACGTGCGTTTGTAACAGTGATGTGCGCAAAGAATACTTGCTTTCATGAAGGAAAACTTAGTAAGTACCATAATTCGTCCTACAACGTAGTGGGTTCTTGCAGCGTCACAATATATTATAATGGTTGTCACTGAACCCGTTAGTTTACAAAAGACATACATATTTACATTTTCTAATCCGGAAATTGTGAATATATCAATGGTATAGATTAACAAAAACAAACTTCGATGTGTCGCGTACTTTCACCTGCGCGAGCGAAAATTCTGCTAGTGAAGCAAGGCAGCGCGCGCGCACCGGACGTATCGCGTCGTGTATTATGTCGTTCGCTATGATTGAGCCCCAAGCATGAGCGACGAACGCTCTTCCACCGATAACGTCCCCGGCGGGACGCCTAACTTTCCGACCGTGTCCAGTCTGAAGTCGGAAGACTCTACCGAGCAGCTGATATGTAAGACTCCGCAGAAGAACACCGTCAAGAGAGGTGTCAGTGTCAGTTCCAAGAGTGTAGAAGCGGGAAGTGATGACGGGAACGGGTCGCGGCGACTGATCGTGGCTCTAGGAGTGGCGCAAGTGGGTTTAGGGGTGCTTCTAGTCGGAAGCGGCGCCCTCGCGGTGGTGAAGGGCGCGGCTCTGTCCCGGGTCGGAGCCGGCCTTTGGGCGGGTGGACTAGCCGTGGTCGCCGGTGTGGTCGGCGTCATCGCAGGCCTTAACGACTGCTACGCGCTCAATGGACCCACTTCAGGGTGAGTGAATCTCACTAAAAACTAGGCTAGTATGCGGGCTGCTGGAATACTTTGATTTCAGCGTTTGTCCAGAGCGGATAAAATAAACGTAGGTGCCTACTTTCTTGTGTTTAATTTTTATAAATAAACAATAAACATAATGTTACCACTTATTAAGTTGTTTAATAACAATAATGTTCTATTTTTGTTGATTACGCTTTAACTGCGTTAATTTTCACAATACATTGTTTCGATTTGTTAAATGCAATAGAAGAATGTCCGGTAGCAAGCATAATGTGCCGGTGCAGCGCGTGTCCAGCAAGAAGCAGGGCGCGGCGAGGCGTAACGTTCCGGCGCGTGCGCGCTTAGATGCACTGCACATATTCCGAAACATGCACTTTGCTTAATTACACTCTAAAGCTCTTTAAGTGATGAAATAAGTCGAAATAGTTGCAAAAACAGCATATATTTTCGCTTTTTATATGTTACATAATATACCTACCTATGGACGTGGATTTGAGGATAATTATTCGTACAATGCAAATTAAACTTTCGGCACTGCGATTTGGCATTCTGATAAACAATAAACTACAAGCTCCCACCTTTTCAGAATGCCAAATCATAAAATGACTGCTTCACGACTGATTTGAGAGCGACCGCCGATGCGATAGCCGCTGTGTGAGTTCGAAAAGTGAGTTACAGAATCGCAGGGCTGTATCTGAAAAACAGCTTGATCAATATAGTTAACTTTTATCTAGTCAAGGCAAATAATATAAGTTTGTTAGACTCACTTTCCGAAATAGGTCAAATAAAGAGAAGGGTACGCATAATTATGTTTTAAAATTGTCAATACAAACACACATAGGTAAATCTCTTAGGGTCGTCATTAATTAAATTTAGTCCTTATTCAATTCTCTTTTACTCGTACGTTTACACTGACATCCAAAATTTAAGTTCATAGGATTTTACACGTTTTGTATCACATTAATATTTTGTGCTTCTTGAAACGTTTATTTCCATAATAAGGTACTATACGGGGGCCTTATTATTATATCTATAAATTACATATTCATATCCCAGCAATGTGTATTGCGCATATTTAGACACACTTCGTGTTACTGACCAACTGGAAAACATTTTTTGTGACGCGCAACGGTTCTCGCCATGATTGTTTATATTTTACAGTTCGTTCCATTCTTAAAGAGGTAGGCACCTACTCGAATATGATTAACAGGGGCCAACTGGCCTGTTTTAAATTAAAAAAAACATTTTATTAAGTAATTAGTTTAGTAATTAGCTATATTATTTAAGAATAAAAACCCTAAGTTAGAAACTACATTTCTGTATTCATTCCTACGCCTGCTATAAAGACATAAGAATAGGATTTAAGGGAACAATTATCCTAGTTAAAGGTTTACTCGAACTAGAATGTTTTTCCGTTCCCATAATCGGAGCGACATCGTAAATATAGTTTTATAATATTTCGAAATATTTCTTTAGTACAATGCATAATAAATAAATACACAGATTTAATAGATAGTAATCTCCTCGATCAAATTGAAGTATTAAGTAAAACAGCAGCCATCGCGATTTGCGAACATATAGGAGCAGTTTATCAGCTTTCACCGGTTTCTCCGAGGTATACTCACGTAGTAACATCAGCCTTACACCTAGCATCTTTGCTTTATTTTTAAGCGACGACTATATCTAATATTACAAGATGAAGCCCATAATTAAAAAAATAATATGCTGGTCATTAGAGATTGTCAGTTTCTCAGATAATATGTGGACAGCGAGTGTTCGTTGTCGTGCGATAACTAATGTCACAACACATACAAGTTTTTATGTTATTCTTCATTCAATGGCATTCTTTATAATATATTTGAAAATTATTGTTCATATAGGTTATTTATCTTTGGATTAAAATAGAAATTATTGTTTTAGGGGACTACTGACTGCGTTTCTGGCTTTATCCTTGCTTTGCCTAGCTTGCGGTAACAGCGCTGCTGTGCTGGCGGCCGCAGGCCTACGAAGAGATTCGCTTCGAGACCCCGATCCACTTGACACCTTTCAAGTAATATTTTTTAGTTATTCGTTTATTTTTTATCTATTCAGTGTTAAGGAGCCTACTAGAAGTTTTTACGAAACAATTCTTGCTTAATGAGTAACATTACTTTTAAAATCTGTTTTATGTGTATCTGTGTATTGTCTAATTGAAATCTCCTCTCAGGATGAAATGCAAGCCTGGACGCCAGTGTTGACTAATATAGCACTTCTTATCGTCGCGTCACTTCACTGTCTGGTGTGTGTCATTTCCATCTATTACCTGTCGAAGCGCGTCTGCTCATGCTTCCGCCCCAAACAGCCCTTTGACCATAACCAATTCTCGGTGGATTACAAGACTCCTTGCGTATTTCATGTCGACGAGATGAAGAAGGCTCAGGATCAGGAGCGACAGCGCGGTCACGAGCTGTGCAAAGAGTTGGAGGCAAAATTACAGAGCGACGCACCAAAGAGGAAGAAGGTTCTACTCTGCTATGATATACACTTAATACGAAATTTTTACAACGACCTACCTTTATGTTCAGTAACTTTTGATCTCTTCTATATACAAGTAACAGATGACCTAATGTCGTAGAATGATGCTAAATATCTATAATATAATATGTAAAAAAAATTGTTTAAAACAGGAAGAGTGTGAGTTCGGCAGTGCGAACAGTAAGGAGCACCTCGTCAACCGTTGGCTGGGTCGTCATGGTGGCGCTGCAGCACGGCCGCTACCACGCCACGGTGTACGGAAGGCTAGGAAGCCTCCACCGGGTCCTGTGGTGCTCGTACCGGCGCATCCGGCCAGCACGGTAAGTCCACATTTTTTTAAAGACGCTTTAAGTATTTTTGTACAAATTACAGCACTCCGCCATGGCGGATTTTCGTTTAAAATTTATGTTTCTAGTACACCGTAGTTCCACATTTCAATTATTCAAATATTCAGGGCAGGTAGTTCTGCGTTGTCTGCAAAGTTTCTCAGTTTGATATTCTCGTAAATAAATAAGTAAATAGCCCAGAATGGTGAATCTATGTAGTAAGGCTGTTACCTGCGCGTGCGGTGGGATGCGGCAGGAAGCACGATGCGTGCGCACGCTAACGTTTTTGCCCCGGCGCCGCTGGTTCCGCTCTCGTTGCGACGGATTATTGACGTGACTGCAGATTAGCCATATCTAGTTATTGCTATTGTGTTACTGTGTCTGTGGTTTTTGGGAGAAAGTGTCTCAAGAGCTTATATACTTTCTTACATGGAACAGTTATATTGTCACTTCTGTTCACAATTCTAAATTTGCTGTTTCTCTTTTCTTTTAAATGCACCCACCGTAAGGTTTGCGACGTAATTTTTTACATTCGCATTCCATTGACTCGGTCTCGCCCATCCTTGACACACATTTCTTTTAATTTACCGAAAACAATGGTTGTTTTTCACTTTTTCTGACCGTGATCTTGAGTCTTTTACGTGAGAGTGCCTTCTATTTGTCCGTAGGTAGGTTTATTGTCTTGCTCAACACTTCTGCTAATTGTACATTTAACTTTATATATTTAATAAATATTACTTTTCGGAACTAGGAAATAGGAAGATGAACAGAGAGCTCGGCGATTACAAAACCTAGTAATCACCTTAATATATAAACAATAATGAAACTTCTAAGAGGTTATCATGATATTAAAGTCTTAAGATATATTTTATTATAATTTGAATTTTATTGAAATGCCAATAAGCATGATGTAACAAAAGCCATTATTACCCTTTGATCTATAGAACTAATTTGACAAAACAATTTAATCGGTCACGCTATGACTTACGTAACTGAGGTAAACGAAGATTACTTAAAGTACGAAATCATCGTATTGTTGGCGTTTCAAAGAAAATATGTTTCAGCAGGATAAAACGTTTCATTATAATTGTTTCAATTAGTTATTTTTATCAATTTTTTTATTCCTATATAAGTAAGCGATACAGTTGGGACAGTTATTTTAACAAAGTTATAATGAATAATTTTAAGATTTCTTCTATATTTTTCGAAAAGTTAAAATAAAGCGTTGAACTCTTTTGTACCGACGCAATAATAAAACGAGTATCCTTCATGAGTTATAATAATAAAATCGCCGAGGTGGTAACAAATCGGTGGGAAAGCACACCATTAGTGGATGCCGCATCTAACGCGCCGGCAGATCGATTCATTATACAGATTATTTAGCACTGAGGAAGTATGCGTTTATGTGCGTACTCAGCCGGTGCAATTCACCATTACATTAGTTCCCAACATTAAAGTTTAGATGTTATTTCATTCCTGTTTTATGATTATTATGATGACGATTGCACATTTGGGAATATCCCAAACAACGTTTTCTTTAATTTCTACGCCGCTCCAGTAATAGTTTAACTGAAAACAACTTTATTTTAAGGCAATACTTTGTGCTATATAATTGTAAAACTGATATAAATTATAGCATAATCACAAAACGCGGAAAATGAACAACTTTCTTGCCAACACGGTTAAAAATTGTTATTCTCTAAAGTGAATGTTGTGGCGCAACAATGAAGAACTTTAATTACATATCTGGTATGATTCTTCCGAAAGAAAAACGATTTTTAACATAATATACGAACTATAACTCTACAAATAAAATATTAAAGTATGTATAAATTTCCTATTTCTACTGTATTATATATTATTTTTATTTTATTTTATTTTTACATTTAAGGAACAGAAACAGAAAACAGATTGGTGAAATACATATAGTTATTACACACTAAGCAACATTTGTAAACCTGAATTTCCAATTATATCTGTACACAGCATTTTAGTGTAATCTTCAGTGCTGGTTTACCAAATATTAACAATTAAATACAGTATATAATATGTACATATATTAAACTTAATGACAAAAAAAATAGAAAAATTTAATGACAAAAAAGAAAATTAAGTTATTCTGGTTGCAAGTCTGCACCGCGAATAATCATTCTAAATTCATAACTACTATTGTGAAAAATATCAACATGAGAACACACAGAATTATAATACTTGCACATTCTAGCGAGCGGACCATTCTGGGATACATTGTTGTTACTTGTGGGTATCATAAATAGTTGCGGCTTACGCACAGAACGCGTCGGTACCTTGATGTCAAGTTCATCCAAAAGATAGCTGTCAAGTGAGCCATTTGCTATTTTATGCAAAGTGCACAGGTCGCTCATCCAACTTCTCTTTTCAAGACTTACAATCTGAAAGTGGGCAAGACGCTGGTCATATTGCTTTAATTTGCGCCTAAGACCATACTTTGAGCATAAAGCTCTAACAAACCGCCTTTGTATAGATTCTAATCTATCTGTATGAACTTTGTATATGGGGGCCCATACAGCTAAACAGTACTCAACCATCTCACGAGAGAGCTGTATAAGACAATCAAGGAGTCGGCTCGCCTGAACGGTTTAGCAGTTCTAAGAATAAAGGACAACATCCGGTTAGCTCTACTACAGATATGATCATAATGAGGTCTAAATGACATAACAGAGTCAAATATTACTCCCAAGTCTCGAACCACCTCAACTCTATCCACAAGAATACCCTTAACATTATAGTTATACTGGATAGGGTTCCTACTTTTTGTAAATGTTATAACCTGGCACTTCTTAATATTCAGAGCCATAGAGTTTTCATCGCACCAAGCAGATATAGTATTAATATCCGATTGAAGGGTCACACAATCTCTTTCATCAGATATACGTCTGAAGACTTTTATGTCGTCTGCATATGCCAAACATTCACTACTAATTTTGCTTAGCAAGTCATTCACAAATAACTAAAACAATAAAGGACCCAACTTTGACCCCTGGGGCACGCCCGATGTTACTAAAAATGGCACAGATTCATATCCACAAAGAGCAACGAGTTGTGTGCGGTTCAACAGGTAAGAAGTTAACCATCTATATAAGTTCCCATGGATTCCCACATGTTGAGCCCTCACAAGCAATACAAAATGGTCCACTCTATCAAAAGCTTTTGAAAAATCGGTATATATAGCGTCCACCTGCTTTTTATTATTGAACAATGAACATAAATAAGTAGTATAGCATAATAGATTAGAGTTGGTTGACCTTCCAGTAACAAATCCATGTTGTCGTGGGCTTAATATATGTTTGAGATGGTTATACATATGGGTATATATGAAACCCTCGAATATCTTAGCAAATAAGTTTAGAATACAGATAGGTCTATAATTCAAAACATCACCCTTGTCTCCAGATTTATACACTGGTGTAACTTTAGCTATCTTCCATAGGCTAGGAAATACTCCCTCATGTAAAGATTTCTCAAATATAATCAATAACGGTGTAACAAGAGCAGGAGCGCAAAAACGAACAAAGATAGGTGGGATGCCGTCAAAGCCAGCACCCTTAGAGAGATCGACATTTTGTAACTTTTTTAACAGTTCCTCTCTAGTTATTTGTAAATAACCGATAGAGTAGTTTGATGATGGAAAGTTAGGAGAGTAAGTTATCTTAGTATGAATTTCATAATTCAGACTGCGTTTAGCTGAATCGTCCACAGAGTGTCGGAAAGGGCCGGCCGACAGCTCTCTCGCAATTACCAATTATAATTACCACGCCACCAACTCACGTCGCACTTTCTACTACATATTATTATCTATATTGTTATTAAAATAGAATTCATTTTGAGCAGATCTTTTGTCTTTCTTATTTTAGTTTATAGGTGGTATAAAACCTCTATTGCAAAGGCATTCATTTAGGTTTAAAAATGCAATTCAAATATACCCATCTAAGGTGGTTTTATAGCTTAGAAAAATGTCAAAATTGTAATAAATTACGCAACACAAATATGTGTTTAAATTAATCGACCATTGAACTATTATACAACTAGCGACTTTCTCCAGCCTCAGCGCATCGCAAGCAGGAGTGTTGAGAGAAATTCGATGTTGGTTTTCTTAGTTTTTCTTAGGATTCAACATAATTAGCCCCACCTGGCACCTAGCTTCCAGTTATGGTAAAGTTTTCTCGACGAAGCGGACGAGAAATCGCAATTATTTATTTAATTATTTTTATTTATTTGTGCGATACATAAAGTGGTAATAGCATGTATAATTGTTTTAAATATCTGTTCAGGTCAAAGTATTGTATTTATTAATATTTATGGGTTAATTCATGTCTTAATTAATAAATTATCGTAGCCCCATTATAAGCCAATGATCCATTGAACAGAATTATGATAACAATAGGAGAGCAAAGACCTCTTTCTGAGGCTGGGAAATTTATTTAGGTGTACATGTTTAAAATGTAGTTTTTATGACCTTTACCGTAATAATTTTCGAAATAGGTAGGTACATTTTTTAAAGAAACATAAAAGTCTCGAGCCCCTATGTCGAACCTGTCACAGCTGAATTACGAAATTGCAAGAATACCTAAAAATGTAAATATTAAGTTCATATCTATCATTTTAATATGCGTACTTTAACAGACACCGGCGCCTTGGTTCGTTGATACAACCGTCTAAAATAAAGTATTTAGATTTATGATAGGATAGTCACTCTAGCTATGTAGTTACTTGAATGAGAAACAAAAACAACATAATCGATAAACAGTTGTTGCTGTGGTTGTTTCCCAGCAGGGGCAGGGGGAGAGGTTCTATTGTCTTTGCCAAGTCACCGCTTCATAAACGTATAAATTAGCTATATAATTTTTTAGATTTCAACATTATTTCAATTATTAACTTCATATTAACAGGTTCTTAATACAATTGTTGCAAATCTCGAGATGCATAAAATGTGTAGTTCTCGATGCTTACAAGTA